GCCGCCCTCGCAGCCGCCCTCACCGCCGCCGCCCTCGCCGCCGCCCTCGCCGCCGCCGCCCTCGACGCCGCCCTCGCCGCCGCCGCCCTCGCCGCCGCCCTCGCCGCCGCCGCCCTCGCCGCCGCCCTCGCCGCCGCCCTCGCCGCCGCCCTCGCCGCCGCCTCGCTGCCATCGCCCGCACCGTCGCCGCCGCCCACCCTCGCCGCCGCCCTCGCCTCTCCGCGCTTCACCGCCACCGCCACTGCCCTCGCCGCCCTCTCCACTGCCCTCGCCTCTGCCCACCACGCCACCGCCCCCTCCGCCTCCTCCCTCTCCCGCAGGCCGAGCAGGCCGCGGCAGTGATCCGCGCGAACGCGGACAAGTCGGCTGGGCTGCTGCGCGCGAACGTCGACAAGGCGCGCGCCGAGTTCGACGCCATCGCGGCGCGCAAGGCCGAGGCGCGCGGCCTGACACTTTGCGAGCCACTTCCGAGTCACTTCCGAGACGCTTCCGAGTCACTTTCCGAGTCACTTCCGAGACACTTCCCGAGGCATTCCGAGTCACTTCAGGGACACTTCAGGGACACTTCAGGGACACTTCAGGGACACTTCCGAGACACCTCCTCCCCCCAGGCCACGCTCCCGCCTCTCGCCTCCTCCAGGCGCGCTTCCGCGAGCGGGCGCTTGGTGCGGAGTCGCAAGCGGCCAAGGCGGCGGCGGCGGCGGCGGAGGCGGAGGCGAGGGCAGAGGCCGAGGCGGCGGCGGCGGCGGAGGCTCAGGCGAGGGCGGCGGAGGCGGCGGCGGAGGCGGAGAGCGCGACGGCGACGGCGGCGGCGGAGGCGGAGGCGGCGGAGGCGGCGAGGGCGGATCGCGAGGCGGCGGTGGCGGCGGCGGAGAAGGAGGTCGCTGCGGCGCTCGAGGCGCGCGCGGCGGAGAAGGAGCGAGCGGCGGCGGCGGAGGAGCGCGCCAAGGGCGTGTCGATCGCGTTGGACAAGACGGAGGCGCGGCTGGCGGAGGCGCAGGCGGAGCTCGAGGAGGGGATTAAGTACGCGTCCGAGCGGGTGGGCGAGCTGGACGACGCGCTCGAGTTTGCGCAGGACAACTTGCGCCGCAAGGAGAGGGAGCTGGCGGAGCAGGCGGACGCGGCGGCGCGGGCGGAGAAGGAGGCGGCCAAGGCGCGCGCGCAGGCCGAGTACGACGCGGCGGTGGCGGCGAGGGAGGCGGCCGAGGCGAAGGCGATCGCGGAGCTCGAAGCGAAGGCAGCGGCGATCGCCAAGGCCGAGAAGGCGGCGTCGCGCGCCTTCTGGATAAGACAATTCGAGGACATGTCTCGCACACGTCACTGGGGCGAGCTCTGTAGGCGGCTGCGCTGGAGGCGGCAGGCGAGGAGGTGGCGAGGGCGCGCGAGGCGACCGAGGCGTCCACGCGGCGGGCGGTGGCGGCGGAGCAGGAGGCGGCCAGGTCTTCGGTGGCTCTAGACGAGACGTCGCGGCTGCTCGCCGCTACGCAGGCGGAGGCGGAGGCGGCGGCCGCCGCAAGGGAGGAGAAGGAGGCGGCGGCGCGGGCAGCGCAGGCGGAGGGACACACGCGCGCGCCGCCCTCTTTCC